GGCGGCCGCGTCGTTCACGGCCTCCTCGTTGCCTCCCTTTTCCCTTCCCTCATCGCCTCTGCCTTTGTAAGATGTATTATTATTTGCAAATAGATCCCTAGTTCCTGATATCCTGTTGTCCTAAACATATTTTTCATATGCTGGGTAAATAACGCCACTGTGTGAACAAACAACAATTTTGATTTATCTTTCATTGGAATTCTAGGCTTAGTGAATTTCTATAGCAGTTTATGATGGAGTTCAAAACGCTGGTGCGCAACTTTGACCTGTCATTGCATTGAATTGAGCAAGTAAAGGTGCAGTCTTTACGTCATAGATGGAGGCTTTACTTATAAAGGCGAAAAATTTAGTTGCTAGAGATGCACTCTTTATCTTTGTCACCCGTAGTTTAGTTTTGTCTTAAATGGGTTAGTTGCAATAGGGCTGTAACTAGGATACTGATTCTAGTTTGTCATATTCCCACTAGATATTATAATGTGATATATTTCATATGCTGAGAGCATTTAAGATCGCTGTGTAAGAAACCACCGCTATGATATATTTTTCATTGAAATTCTAGTGTTATTATCTGAATGTTTGTTGTGTGTGACTAAAACTAGACATATAGAAATTGCGGATACATGTAAATGTTGAAATAACTGATATTTATTGAAGGATCGCCGAATCCCTGTAGCTTAGTTAATTGGATGTTGGCAGCTAATACAGAAGGATGGAAAATGACATCAGCTCGATCATCATCTTTAATGACAAAGGTAAGTTAGTTTTAAGAATCAATATAGTGACAATAATGTAGTATATTCAAGATTTACCAACTGCTAGTACTGGAGAAGGCCAGAGCCAATTACAGCCACTTTTGTATACTAGCCAAGGCATGTCGAGAATTCATGGATGAACATCAATTTCAGTAGATTTCATGAGATTGTACTTAACATATTTGCTTCGCAAGGATGCACAAGTACACTATGATTTGCTACAGGAAGCAATGTCAGAGATGTGAAATATCCTGTTTTGTACTCTCTTTTAAGAGGACATAAAGGTCATTGTCTGGGCCATGCTAATAAGATCATCAGCACCAAAATGATCTTAGAAAATTCTCTCTGTCTAAGAAATTGCACCTTTGATATATAACAACAGCAAGAGCACCTTCTTGCTTTAATTGATTTCTCTGGACCCCGTGGCCTTTTTTGCGTTTATTTGGTATTTCATTTGTAAGAAGGAAGCTTACCTCAGGTGAAGATCTATAGGAAATCTGCTATCCAACCAGTCTAGACCATTATATATCACATGTTTGTGATTGTGGAGGTCACTGCTCAAGGCATGACATTTTCTTCCCATTACATAAAAAAGTGAGAGCTATTTAGGACATTTATTCTAAAGCAATTTTGGCCTTTGAATCAACCTAAAGCTGCATCGGTACTTGCCTACTGCTTACACTTTATCTATAACAAGATCTTTGCAGTTTCAGAATTTGTGATGTTACCTCACAGATAAAGTGGGCTTATGATCATTTTTAAAATATCTATAAGTTTTTGACTGCTTATTAAGTAGTATCCCACTATTTCCTATTGGGTGTCTAAAATTCTAGTCAACCATATTAGATGAACCTGGTAAATCTTAAATTAGATATCTGTTTAATTTTTTTATTTTTTTATTTAGTTTGTTTCAGTTTGTTTGCGATATCAACAGAAAGTTGTTCATGCCATAGGCATTTCTTTTCCATAATGTTGATAGACCATTCTGTCTTTCTTCAACGCTTATAATGTATTATTTTTTGGTAAAATCATAGCCTGGAGCTGTGTATGCATCTCAGAATCTACAGTTTAAATTGCCAGTATACATTGAGGATGAGGTGCTTGCTGAGGTTCAGGCAACAAGCATTCGTGCAATCAAGGAAAAATACTAGTATATCTCATTGTCATCATAATCATCTATCAGAATTTGAGGAGCATGATTTCCACTAACAACTGACCTACTTTGTGCTTGTATGACAGTGTAAAGTGGTCAACCAAGTGTTATACTAGTAAGGAATCTCTTGTCATTGACGGCGAAGCCACAACCATTCTTCCACAAATAACAATGAGCGAGTGACAACATCTCATATTTCAGGTATGTGATTGTAATATGTAAAGCATCAAATTCTCATTTCCTTTTTTTAATATCAGCCAATAACTCTGACATTGAGTGGGATGATAAGTTCTTTATTTCTTTTCTGCTGTAAAGTAAAGGATCGTGTTCATGTTATGAAATATTCTTCCATATCTTTTGGATTGTGTTCCATTGACACAATCTATTCATCTTTAAGGCTTGAACTACATAGCACTTGGGTGAACTTTTGGGGAGTTTTCCTGGTATGTGAGTTCCTTGTGTGTTTAGGGTTCAGATTTCTTTCTGTGCTAGGCTACGCACATACACGCATGCCTACGGCCACACACGCACACACCCACCGAGCATGTACGTGTGCGTGCAATCATGCATATGCATATCTGCATGTGCAAGCACACGCACACACCCAGACACCCACCAACACATGCATGACGCATGCACACACGCATGCACAACATGGTTGAGCTACTAAATGACCTGCTAAGAGATCTGCTGAGCTCCACCTACTTCGAGCTGAATATTAGGATGAATCACGCCAATAGTGAGCTACTACCTTATACCCATTTTTCCATCCATGCACATGCACATGCTTGTGCGCACACACGCCACATGTAAACACACGCACGCGCGGATATGCCTTTGAAAGTCTAAATATATGTATTGTTGATATCCATATATTGAAATACCTAATTTGCATAATCATCTGTAGAATAATAGCTTCCTAAGAAGGGACACAACATTACTCTATCTTATATGTAACTTTCAAGGTAAATAAGAATTAGAGCTTTGCAAACATGGGAGATGTTTGGGCACTTGTCGCGTTTAAGTGTGTCAGACATGATCTTTTATTAGGGAAATTGTACCACATAAAATAGGTTTGCAAGACTAGCAACCATCCAAGAACCTCATACTACCTAGCAAGTAAATTTGACTTTAGCTGTTAGTTTTTGTATATTTTTCTAACTTAAACTTTTTCTTGTCATTCTATTTCCAGTTGGCAACGTTAGTTTGAAGCACCAGAGTAAAAATAAATTTGCTAGGGATGCTCAAGACTTGGTTAGGTTTCTTGAGAGCTCTGTCAGGGTCGGTCGATAAATTCAACAAAAGCTTGAACAAAACTTAGACTCATTGAAACAAATGAATGACCATAAACTGTGGATTGCTTGGCTTGCTGGGTTTGCGTGACTATCTATAATTCATCAGAGCTTTCTTTTTCACTATTTTATTTTGTATTTTGTGACTTAAATGCCCCTAAAATAGACAGTTTTTTACACAACAATAATACCTTCGGTGAAGTTTTTCCTACAGATTTTGTTTTCATCAAAATGTTTGGGTGACTATCAGAGATTAATCCCTCTCAATCCATGTGCAGTTTTTGTATTTGACAAGTTTAGGTGTGCCTCATATGCCCACTAAGGAAAGAAATTACTAACAGTGTTATCGAGGCGCAAGGCGTAATGCGGAGTGCAAAGGTCCCTTACGCGTACCATGTACAAGGCGCACAACGAGGCGCGCGCCTCACTTAACTGAGGCGCGTAACCCAAACTAATATTTTCCAACATAAGACAAAGAAGCGTATAAACAACATTTTTATAAATTATCACATAAAAAGACTAAGAAATATAATTTCACTTACTAAATCAAGAAAGAGTCTTAATTATCATGCATAACATAAATAAGTTCATATGTTTCCACAAATCATAATGTAAGATAATATCCAACATGAGCAAAAGTCTACGAAATAAAATAAGCAAGTAGCAAAATATCAAAGTTTCTCGTCATCCTCATCATCATCGTCATCCAACTGAAGTGGAATCTCCTCATCCTCAGTTTCCTCCTCTTCTTCATTAAACTCATCTTCATCTTCCGAGTCCAGCTCACTCCTCCTAGATGACGAAGCAATACTACTTGAAGATCCTCAAACCCTAGCAGTAGCGGTAGACCTTAAAGTAGGTCCCTAATTTTCTTCAACTCCAGTTGCTTCACCTACAACACCCCATCTAAGGTCATCCTCCTCATCCACCAAGTCATTTTCCGCATTGTTGCCTTCTCCAAATTGACCTAACAACCACTCGTTGCTTTCATCTATGTCAGTCAACTTGATTGGATCAACAATATCCCTGCAGTCAAATCTTTCCTTCAAAGCTTGATTATATTTGCAATATACTAGATCCTGCAACCTATTGTGATCCAATCTATTCCTCTTCTTGGTGTGTATCTGCAACACATATAAAGTCAAATAATCAAATTCGTACTCGAAATCCTTAATTCTTTAAGCATATGTTTATTCAATTAGATAAAATTAAACATACTTGTTCAAAAGTTCTCTAGTTTCTTTCACACCCAGAGGAGTTACAAGTGAGACTAAGGATCCTTATAGCAAGTTTCTACAGAACCGGAGCTGCTGCACCGTAAGAATCCCACCAATCAGCTGTCAAAATACACAAAGTAATCAATACGAGTATATAATATGTTATTAATTTATTTAACTAAAAAATATGTGTACATAATTAATTGATATATTTTACTTGGAGATTTCTTTTCTCGGTTTCTAATAGCTATAGGCATGCCAAATAGATCCTGTGCTTCTTTGTATAAAGTCAACTCTTGAGAAATTTTATCTTGATCCTGTTGTGGCACAAGCTTTTGAATGACTTCCCAGAGGCCTTTCATGATCTCCTTATCGGCTTGAATGTTAGGGTGGGCATAGAAAAAAATTGGATTAAGGTAAAACACTGCAGCATGCAAAGGATGATGTAACTGAACATTCCATCTCTTATCAATCATCTCAAATACCTCCGAATATTTGCTAGCATCATCACCAAAGGCTTTTGCAATAGCCTCTTTGGCTTTATCCATAGCCTCATAAATAAACCTCATGACCGGCTTCCTCTCGTTATCAACAAGCTTCAAAACATGAACAAGAGGACCCGTGAGCTTGAGAACACGAACAACATTATTCCAAAAGTTAGTCATTTTAACTGTCCTCTCCGCTGCTTTGCCCTTTGGATCTCTTGCCCACTTGTTTTTCATCCACTTTTCGGAGCAAAACATCTTCCTTAGATTATTCTTCTGCTTATGGATGCTTGATAAAGTCAAAAATGAAGTGGCAAACCACGTTGCCGTCGGTCTAAGAAGCTCTCGAGCATTGATTTGATCTCTCATCAACCTCAAAACCCAACCATGTGAATAAATGAAACCCGTCAACTCCATAGCACGACTCAAGGTCATCTTCACGAATGGTAGTTTTCCGATATCCTTAAGCATGAGATTGAGACAATGAGCAGCACACGGTGTCCAGTACATATGAGGATATTCATCCATCAAGTATTTACCTAGAACCCTTAAACAAACATCTCATTAGTATTCAATCATTCAATTTTAAAGAAATTAGAAAGCACATCAATCAATATCAAATAAATTAAATCAAATCTAAAATTCCATACCGGCTAATTTGAGACTAACATGATTATCCGTCACAATTTGCACAACATTCTCTAGCCCTATCTTCTTAATCTCCTCATTTAAGATCTCAAACATCCTCGCACCAGTCTTGATCTCATCGGAAGCATCAATAGAGGAAAGAAAAATTGTTCCGTGAGGAGAGTTCACAAGAAAATTTATCAAAGTCCTTTCCTTCCGATCAGTCCAACCATCCGACATAAAAGAGCATCATTTTTTGACCCAAACCTCCTTATGAGGTTGCATGAGATCGTTAGTTTACTTCTCCTTCTTAAGCAATGGCTCTCGTAATTGATGGAATGTTGGAGGTGGCAAGTTAGGCCCAAAAGCCCCCACTGACTTCAACATAATTCTAAAGGACCTAAGTTGTACGGCATTAAAAGGAATTCCCGCTTGATACCACCAACGGGCAATATCTTGATGCACTTTAACAACTGCATCTTTGTTGAGGCCTTCTTCAATGCTTGTTTGCCGCAATTTTCGCCTTCTATCACTTTGGCTACCTCCAGTTCCGGGTCAAATGAGAGAAATGAATCCATAGGCCCCTTCCTCTTTGTTGAAGATCCCACACTTCCCCTTCCTCTTGTAGATAAGGAAGATGATTTAGAAGTAGAAGTCAATTGCTCCTTTCCCTTGTTCCTAGTTGCTTGTGCTTGTTCTTCAACCTCATCAACTTCATCTATTTCAACCATGTCATCATCTTCAAGATCCGACATGTAATTTTTCAGTGCTTGTTGTCTTCTAATAATTACTTGTTTTTTGTCATATTCCTTAAGCTCATCAACCACATTCGAAGGAACTTTATTGCAAAGGGAAACATTTTTACGTTTCCTCGTCGTTCTAATAAGATGCTCATTTTGCCTTGATATGCCGCCATTGGTGATCTTATTACAATAAATGCACTTGTGCTTGTTGGAATTCCCTTCCTCAACTAGAGAAGTGTACTTCTAAGTCAGATCTTGTCTTCTACCACAATTCGCACTCGCCGATGCCGATGAATACATATTCAAGTTTATTAGTCACCTACACCCAAAATTATGAGAATATCAACTTAAATCATCAAATTATGCTAACTAAAATTTTTAAGTAACAAATAAGATACAAGAAATATGTGTTTTAATTAAAAATGAAATATGTTTTTTAAGTAACAATTAAGTGATTAACAATTAAATATTTACACGTTCATAATTTATTAGTTAGCATGCTAATTACCTATTTTAAGCTCTTTTTTCTAATTATACTAATTACTAAGTTGTTGCTCATTGACTTTGTTTTTCTTTTTTATAGATTATACTTGAGTTAAGTAGCAACAAGCAAGGATGAAGAATCAATCAAATTTTCCAACACAGCTACCAAAATAAATATCCATAATTCATTCATTGAATATGTAATTTGTATATTCATATTGTATATTTTTATTCCTATTTTCTAATGAGATCTTCATATGTAAATGTATATATAACAATTCATTGAACAACAACAATTAATTAAACAGCAGTAGTTAATTGAACAGCAGAAAAAGAAAAAATTAATTCTCAAAGAAAAACAATTAATGGGAAAAAAACTAAAAAAATAAGAAAAATTAAAGAAAAAACAGAAAAATAATTCTCAAATTAAAGAAAAAACTATTTTAAGCTCTTTTTTGTAATTATGAAAAATTGAAAATAAACAACAGTTACTTCATATAAATTATTTTCAAAAATAAAAAAGAAGAAAAAAGAAAAGATAAAAAGAAAAGAGAGAAACTGAGGTGGGTCTGAAAAATAAAAAAGAAAAGAATCGGTGGAATCAGTAGTTGTGGAAAAAGAAAAAAGAAAAGAAAAAACAAAAGAGAAAAACTAAAAATAAAAACTAACCTGCAGCAGAGGCTGCGACGTAGCAGCGTATCTGTATCGCGCGCGGAGTCCGGCAGTGTTGGCAGCGACTCCGGTGGCGTCGAAGGGTCTGGCGGTGGAGTCGGCTCGGCTTGCAAGCAAAGGAGAGCAGAGGGAGGAGTGGAGTCCGCTGCAAGCAAACGTTGGGAAAGAGGATTGAACCCTAAAAATTGGCGTTTAAGTGAAATATGCGGGTCTGACCCAAAACCCGCTTCAATTTAAACTCAAACCCGCTCATCCAAACAAATTCATCTCACTACACTCATCAACTGGGGCACAGTGAGGCGCTGTGCCCGACGGGCGCACCATGCGCATCCGAGGCGCGCCCCAGGCGCGCGCCTTCACATGCTCGCAGCGCCCCGCCTCTGCGTGCGAGGGCGCGTTAGCTGCAGCGTGCAGCGCTTGCGCCTGGGGCGCGCCCCAGGCGATCGCCTTAATAAGCCTGATTACTAAAATGCTTCCTATTATGTTTAAAATCAAACATGTCCTTTTCCATTATTTTATTTATTTATGGTAAATCTGATCATCATGTAGTAGCTTGAAGACACATAAGAGAATAACACAAAGAAAAGCCAGATGCTGGATAAACTTATATTTATGTAGTAAGGCTAGAAGGCCAATTTGGTCCTGTGCTAGGGCTTCGTACTCAAATTGGTCTTCCACTTTTTTTTTCTCAACTTAGTCCATGTATCGCACCTCACTTACAAACTAAGTTCTTTTTTAGCATCAGTTGAAATTGGGTAACTTTTTGTTTAGGACCACATTACCCTCAGGGACATGACAATAGTAGAGGCCCCTGCACTTTGGAAAGATATTATTTGTTTTAGGAAAACTATGGTATCAGTGATCTATTTTGATAGATATAAGATATAACTTTCACATTTTCTCTTCTCCCACACTGATCACATTGACTTGTATCATACAGTAACTGCTTTGACCAAGAGAGTCGCCGACAGAGTAGTCTCATTTAAATAGGGAGCTCATTAAGTTTTGAAATTAACTACAAACCATATTAAGGATATTATGGCCACGGGGGACATTGTTAGTTATGCCTCTTCAACATCATTGACAGTGTGTCGTATGTTATATGAGTCGTTGAATGGAAAAATATTCTCCTTTAGCAGCAATTACATGGGGGCTTTGCAGTTAAGGGTCAAATCAGGCATGTACAGATGCTTGGTAGAAAATGTCATATGGTGAACATTGTAAATGAACAATAAAAAGACATCGTTAACAGAAGTGACATTGTACTCCCCTTTTATGATTGGAATGAATTAGAGGATAACCTAAGGGATGAGAGACCAAACGTGCCTTGGAGGATATGGGATCTGAGAGTAGATCAAGGCTATACTTACTCGAAACTGATTGTCATTAGGAGATCAGCCAACTATCCCTAGTTGTAATTATATGATAGGCATATAAGATCATATTTCTTATACAAATTGAAGTTTTATACAAATTCTAATTAATTTATATATTTTGATGAACATCACCAGCATTATTAATTCTTTTTGAGTTTCATATACTTACAGTTCATGAAAGTACAAACGTATAAGAGAACAAAGCCAAGTCCCTACAAGCTTTAAAAAAAAGGCAATTGCTCACTTGCCAAGTTAGAAACTATATAACACCAGACACATCAAAGACATTTCAAGTAAATGATATATAAAACCACCAAATAATTTAAGAGTTAGGATCAAACTATGTACTGTTACAAGGTAATTTATTGAACAGGAAATCGTTCTTTTTCTAGGAAATGAATTGGGCAGGATAGTATTGTCCTTTCAATTTTTATTTAACGGAATTTTTATCGGAGAGTTAAAATTGGACTAAGTTTACATCAAAGGGTCCATGGACTAAGCACAGAGACCAGTTTGAGTATGAGGCCCTAGTATGGTGACCAAATTGGTCTTTTAGCCTACCTAAATAATATGTACATGATCCATTCACTGCAATTTTCTTCTATTATAAAGGATAGTTCATTTATAGCTGGCAATTAAGGGATATTATTCTAGACTACCGATGCAAATACAAGGTTGAAATCTGTGTTACATGGGTACTTCTATTTGAAGTCATACCCGTACCTGACACTTGTACCTGCACCCGCATCCAAACTTCTTGAATATATGCATATTTTACTTGGGTGTGTACTCAATTATATAATACATGTTTAATTTGAAATACTCATCGTACACTTCTAGGATATAAATCCTACACTTGGCATCCACTTCTTGAAAATCGTTGGACATTCATCGGGTTCGTTTAAGCCCATACCCAGTTCACAACTGATTTAAAAGGTCTGTTTGAATATCTAGTTAATAACGAGTGGTTTTCCAATTTGTAATCTACATACCTAGAAACATAAAAATGTTATAGGATTTTTAATTCTTATAATATGTGAATGCAAAAAACAATATTTATCTCATGTAAATTATTAAGTTTTATTCATGTAAATATACGTATACATGCATATGTATATCTGTCCCCGTATCCTCCCTTTTACAATTTCTTCGGGCCCGTATTGGTACTTGTACCCGGACCCATTTCCGTGTAACTTAGATAGAAACGAGTAAATGGATTGGTGGATGTAAATGGACAATGCTGTTTGCCTATACATAAATGGGATTTGCCTATACGAGTAAGTAGCTTTTTTCGTTTTTTTAATAAATGTTAATACATGTTTGTTACTAGTTCTCTTATATATACATGCATTACAGATATGAGGGATCACTATCCTTTTTTGAGATTAATGTATCATTTCAATTTGCTAGGGATAATTAGCAAGGTATTGAGGTAGGGAAGAGATAAGTGCTTATATCTGAGACTTCGATATCCATAAAAATGCAATAATTGCGGAAAACTGTTGATATCACTTGAAATTAATGGACCTTTTAGTCAATTGTCTCTTCTGATTTTGGTTTATATAAAAGAGAGATGTTTGGGGCCTGTAGTACTATGTTTCTATTGTTTGCATCACGTGTAGTCTAGTTTCTAAGCAAATATGATATTGATTTTGTTGCAGGCTATGACTATATGGCTGTTTTTTTCAAGAACCTTCTTGCTACTGAGTTTTGTCATAGTTCTAACTATCAATAAATGTCATTTTATTTGCGAAAACTTTCAGACTGGTGGAGAGGGTTCCCGTCGTCCAAATCGTACATCTCTAAACATCTTGATAGTCTCTTTTTACAAGTAGATGATCTGAAATTGCAATATCAATTGATTCTTGTTTTTGATGCTCTGTTGGGAGAACGTGGACCTGCGTGCGCCTGCAGATGCTCAGAGGCAGCTCACAGGAAGCCATGCCTGTTCTTCTGCAACAAGTTCTGCGCAACATGCCTCTGCGTTCCTTCAGGTACATGGGGTCACAGGGAAGAATGCCCTTGCTATAACAAATTGGAAGACAACGGAAGGCAAAACCCAAACGTTCTTAAAAAAGAAACATTCATTCATTTGTTTACTGTATCGTATCCTATAGAGGAATGTTATTAGGAAATTAGTGGAATGAATAAATTCCTTTTTGTGGACTGTGGCTACTGTTTTTCTATTTCTTCTGTTCTTTTGCTTTTATAGACTACAAACACAAAACCTACATTTGTTAGTTATTTAATTATATAATTAATCACTAATCTAAACCCTTGAACCCACTCATAGAGGATAGCTTCCAGGTTGGCATTGGGTAGCTATTAGGGTGCTTGTGCTTCCCTCTTCTTATTTTCATCCATACTAGTTTTTTTTTTCTTTTTTATCTTAAAAGAAGCTGAATAAAAGACAAAATAATCCTTGAAATGGCAGAACTCAGCTCTATTCCTAGAATTTAAAAAAACAAAATGGAAGCAAACAAACTACTACCCAGAGATAATAACTGATGTAAGATCACTTCGAAGATCTCATGAACAAATGGAATGAAGAAAAAAAAATGAATTTCCTTCCTTTCAGCAAATGTGTATACCTTATGGAAATATATATATATATATACAATACAAATAAAAGAATGTGAATGCTAGATGAAGTAATCTTATTTACAATAACATTTACACTGAGTTGAGTTGCACCTTTGGATTACATACTGTCCATTTTCCCTGCCAAATGCTTGTTCCACGCCTAAACTATGTTCAAGTCACACAACACTGAAGCTTCGCCTTCTCCGCGAAAATTTCCCTGAGAAACAGAACAGGTGATCAATGGGAAGTCCATTGCAGCATAAATCAATTCCCCTAATTCTTATTTCCAAGATGCCACCACCTTTTCTTCTTCTTAGTTTCCGTGGTGGGAAAATCTGCACACAGAGGTATCATAGAGACCATATAAGAACAAATCGCAGGCAATTTGGGAAAGCTAGTAGCGATGGCAGAAAATGTAACAAATCGGCAACAGCTTAATACAGTTAAGCATGAACACAGGTGAGGAGTGGTGAATACATATTACCATTTTGCTTGAAGGAAAAAGGAATATACTAGAAACTTACCTCCTTCCGGATAGATGGAATTGTAATGCACCTCAGCCCAGAAGCTCAAGAAAATAACTACAGGAGAATAAGGGGGAAAATTTTAATTATATGCATAAAATATTTAAAAAGGTCCCAAGAAACATAGAAACAGGACGTGGTGAGGGTGACAGAAGAGCCATCAGTAACGTAACTAAAAAAGCAACAATATATGTGGCCAAGAGCATGCCCATCAGAAACCAAGGTGAGTATTTCTTGTACGAAACTTTAATGAGGCAGTCCAAAGAGAACGTCGTGATAACAAATGTAATTACCAGGAACGTAGTGAATTTGCTAAATTGTTTTTGCACAAAAGAACTTTTTTTCCCAATCAAAAATTGTCACGGTGTTTTACGTTATTTTGATTGCAAAATATTAGATTCCTATCCACAACATTCCAATTCCGGGAATTGAAACAAATTAGAATTCTCAACGACCTCTCAGAGATACAGAATATTTCCTAGAACAAGTAAATCCTAATGATTTTTGTTTCTGTTGACAAGCATATTACAGTGTCATGAAATGGATCGATTAAAAATCTAGATAGTATTTTCAAGCCAGGATGTCCATTTTTTTTGCTAAATACGGTGTATGCGACTCTTCCTTAAGAACCTGACTAGCCCACAGAATGGTTTTTTCTGGTAAATCAACTTGATCACGGATTCATAAACACAACCATCAAGATTATTTATTTTTTTAGTCAAGTTAGAGCAAATTAAAAACACTTTCAATCAAATCCGTTCTTTCCACAATTGGAATACAGGAGTAGAGTGATTGCCCAAAGTCGGATCACATTGTTCTGATTCAGCTGTTGAACCTGAAAACATGTAGTTCTAACCTAGCTCTGGTCTTTTACTTGAACGACATGAGAAAAACTGAAAGAAGATAAAATACAATAAACAAACAAATGTAGGCTCCTCAGCCATCACTGTATTTAATGCCTAAACTCCAGTTTTCTTTAGTTAGTCTTGGATTGAATATATTGCTGCAAGCCAATACAAGAATTTTTCCATGTACTCCAGAACATATTACTATTGATACCTAAGTAAATTTATTCAAGTTTAAAGGATAGATCTGGTTAATTTGTTAATATATTTACCAGAAGAGCAAGCTTCAACCTTTTAACAACCACTTCACAGTTCACCATTTCAAGATAGTTTTTGAAGTAATTATTCAGAATTTATGTCTACAAAAGGGCACCTCAGTGCAAAAGGCACCTCATTATAGGCCCTTGGAGGGTCAAATTTTTGTACTTGAGGTATGTTTTGCAATATGTTTGGAGCAAGTATTTCAGGATGCTTAAGAATCATTATTCATTTTTTTTTCGTTTGCACTTTCTACAAAGAGCATATTCATCAAAACAAAGCTCTGTCACTACAGTAACTATATGGACTCTAATGTGTAACATGCAGGAAAGAATATGAACTAACAAATTAACAAACCATTGAAAAATACCATGCAGGAAAGAATGTGAGCTACAAACTAGAAGAAGTTGATAACAAATAACATGCAGGAAGGGATGAGACCTACAAATAATACAGGTTGATTATTATCATTGTTAATATTAACTAGTTGTTTCAACATCGGCACTGAGCGTCTAATTTGGAACAGTTTCTACCTAGAAGCATTTTCAATTAAGTTGGCTATTGGATATGTTGCAATCATTGAGTCTCAATGTAAAGGGTTGGAATGATTTTGAATAGGCATAAACTCACAAGAGATTTGTTATACAATACACCTACTGATAAAAAACATCATAGACATGTTTAACAATACATTTCAAGTTGATATAACTATACAATCTCTAATTGGAAGGCATTTATTTAATGATAATAAGAAGGTAGCAAGTACTAAAGTAAGCCTCTGCAAGATAAGCATGTTCTGAACAATAAAGCATCATGTGCTTTTACCAAACATATCAACCAAAGCATAACATAAAAGGACAGTCTCGATTGCACTTGATATGTAGCCTTAGATGCCAATGAACTCACCAATCATCAGAGGGGGAAAAACAGAAAAGTTAAAATGAGGTATAGTTAATGCTGGAAAAAGCCATTTTACACGCACCTCGTTTTGACTTTTGAACATTAGGTAGAATCTCTATGTAGCACGTATCCTTGAATGAAGTCAAGACAAATATTTTGACGCCATACTGTAGAAGAATATATGCACATAAAACTATCAGAAAAGCTTATCGACTTTGGTTCTTGTCAGAAATGCAACAGTATAAGACTAAAAAAAAAGCTATTTCTATAAATATATAATCTTGTTATAATCTGTGTTAAATGTTCTTAATGCGTTACACTACAATGTGAGGGATGTGAAACCCCCATTTATCAAGGTAATGTTGTCCCGCTTTTGGTCAGATTCCTTCATTCACATTACATAATGAAAGTAAGATAGTTGTGGGTTTGCAATCACTCCTAATAGGGCATAACTTCAATAGGACTAAAAGAATTTTGAAACAGTGACAAATATCAAAAATTCAAGAGTATTAAAGTGCAAGTAGATGAGACAAGAAGCTGAAGTTCTATAACCTGCATACTACCATATACATTTCCTAATATTCAACATAATTAAATCCCTCCTGCATGATGATAAGTTTTTGTTAACTGAAGAAAATACAGACATCAGACAAATATTAGAGATAAATATATGGAGGTAAGCTATGATCACAAGGACTGTACTCAAACAGTATTAAATTAATCCATGTGAGTGAAATTCAAGCAAACAGAATTCAACTTTACAAATAACAATTAGGAAATAATTAATTTTACAGGCTTGCATTAACTCAAAAGCTTACGAAAAACCATCATAACTTATCTCAGAGTATAGAAAAAGAAAATGCTAGAAACTATAACTGTTAACGACTAACGAGTCTTCAAAACAAAGAAAGATAATTACTGTATCTGCAGCAGCCTGTAAGGTAACATGATCACCCCATTCCCCATTCCTGTCATTACAGTGAAAATGAGGGGGGAAGTCATTAATTAGGCATAGGAAAATAAATTGTGAATGAAGAACTAGTTGAAATAGTATTACTTGGATATCTTCTTTAAATAGTCATCATAAGCCATTGGAACATATCCTTCGTATATATCAGGGTTAGACTTCAGCTGTGAATCATTACGACAATAGCTTTACTAATAGATTTTCTTAGCATTGTTAACAGTACAAGGGAAACATTTATAGTATAAGTTAAAGCAAAACACTTGGTAGAAAAAAATAAATAAAGCCTCCAGATGGACACACCTGATTGACAATTTGCTGTCTAACAAACTTATGATGCTCAGGGGTGCGGTAAAATTGATCAGATAGTGCTCGGAACTGTAAAATTGCAAAAGAAAGAATACCTAACTGAAAAACTGCAATTTAATATCATGAAAGGCCAGAAACTACAACTTACTCCTACGACAGATCAGAAAAGACAGGCAGGGAGTGAGAGACAATCATATTTGCATCCTCTCAGTCTTTTGCTCTCAAACTATGCATGAGTTATTTTCCTTAGAGAATTTATCTCCATCTCCCAAGAAGTTAGAGATAAGGTTGAAGGTCTATCTACAACACAGTTATATGTCCTATAAGATGCAGCCACATCATGCAGATAACCATTCTATGGTCCATGCAGTTATAAATCCCATTAATAAAAGTATGCCTGAAATCTCAAATATTCCAGCATATGAGAAATAACTATAGCTATCGTGAGATTTTTCTTTTCCCCTTCTTTGATATTCCACTAACTTGTCAATGTCAACGTTCAGTGTGGCAAAAGTCAATCAGATGGACATAATTCATCCATACCAGAATACAAGCCAAAATAACATGAAGACCAAATAGCGAAAAAAAAAACTCTAAGACACACAGAAACCAAAACAATAAAACGTTAACAGAGAACTCAGGATGAACTTGAGGGAGCAGGGAGATGCACAAACTCACCAGAAAGATCGAGAAATACTGAAATCTTCTGTATATTTATGCACATGAAACGATTATCAACTTACCCTTTTTTCCTTTAAAAAAAAGAGATAAACCATCAAAAGCTAACCTGACAGTTACCATCTCCTTGAACCTTGAGCTCGACCAGATCATATAAACACAACCTACAATAGCATACCAAGTTCAGAGATATATATATCTAATATGAAAACCAAAGTGGTGTAGATACAAAGAAAAAGAAAGTCACTAAGAACATAAGTAAGATTCTCCAGTCAAAGGCATTGCAAAAACAGATACTCCATTCAAAAACAAATATTCACTTGTAGCAGAAAATTCAACAGGAAGAAGAACGAACGCAGGGGTATTTACTAAAATGATAAAGAGAGCACTTTTTTATCCAGAAGTTTAACAAGATATAATTTGTAAGCCTAGAAGTTCTGTCCATCTTAGCAGTGACATATACCACTAGTCATATTATGCCAAGGTCATCAACAGTAAAGTTACAGATGAAATTTTATAATCTAGGAGCCATAGCAATGCATTGGTTTTAGGGTTAAAGTTTCATTATTTTATTCTTGGAGATGCTTAGAAGTAAACTTTTACACATTAGAGCAAAATAACAAACTCCATAACATCCTTAAACAAAAATCAGGCTTGGTATGTACCTACATAGGCCTGTGTTACTACCTATAATGGCTTTAGTAACATTAAATATGATAAGAAATTAATAACAGGTGTGTGTGTGTGTGTGTGTGTGTATAGACCAAGTGATAGTCATTCATGGAGTGTGTGTGTGTGTATAGACCAAGTGATAGTCATTCATGGATATGAATCGAAAATGGGACAAAAGAACAACACAAAACATATCTACAATATATACTTGGAGAATGATTTCAAAGAGAGTATACCTATCAAGCAGCCTTTGATGATCAGATGTCGCTTCATCAACAGATGGGATTTCTCGATTGATTCTAGGAACATGCTAAAATGAAAACATTTAAAAAAACTAGTAAGCCATGTTATCCTACTTACTGAAATGTAGATTATATTCAATACAGACTTAGGATTATTCAAATTTAACTGCATAACGAAGGTTAATCATATTCAGAAGTAAACATGAAGTGGCAATGTAACTCTTAATGCATAACGACCAGAGAAGTTCTTAATGGTAACTAAAAATGATGATCAAAGGCAACGATAAGCATGAAACATCCTTAAATATCTCTTCATCTGGAAGAAGCAGGCAAGAAAATCAGTATTTAAAAAACATAAACCATATTTTCAATAAAATGATTCACAAAAATAGCATACAACTTCTATTCAGAACCCCAACAACATTCCCAAGTCTACCATTGCAAACCAGAGTAGCTGATTCTTTTTTTTATATAACTCCAAACTCCAAAACAAAGGAAGCTGTTACAGACAAGGATCATGCTTATAAAATTATGGAAATTTTTCCAGTAGGTTGTTGAAGAAAGACGAGTATCTTTAGGAAACAAATAACATTTATAATGGTTTGTTGACTTATAGAAGACAATATTTGGAACCAGAATTTGGAAAAGGATTAACTTTCACTTAAATACCCTATATTTTCCCCTACATTGCACTTATATACCCTCACTTACTTTTAGCAGAACTTATATACCCTAAAGTTTTAAAACTTTCAATTATGTACCCTCACTTGTTATTGGCAACAGTTATACTCTAAAGCATAGTTGCATTTGCATGAAACCCGGTCCGCTTTAGTTCACAGGACAGTATGGGAGCATGGTATGCTACTAATTAGGAATCGGTATGAGGGGATAGGCTTATATGGTATGCAGGGAACATGGTATGCTTTAGGTTCGGTTCTTAAAAGTATAGAGGTTTGGCAAGAGTCAAATTTAAGAGATACACTAGTTGATATCAGTACTGGTAAAAGAACCTTAACAATCATGTTGCAATTAATTTATGCATTAATTTGCTTAATTTCTCACATTTTTTGTTGTTTATTCTTTTAAAAAAGAGTTATTATATTCCTTCAAATTGTTTGTGACTAATTTTTAATTCTAAATCGGGTCACTAGAGTTGGTGAATCAGGTCATGTTCCATGCGAATCTGGGATGATGGAACCCGATTCGTGGTTCCCTATAGCGTCCTATGTTCCCGACTTCTATGCCCAAATTTTTTTAAAACTTGCACTTAAACACCCAAAATTTTTAAAACTAGCACTTAAACACCCTAATGTTTTTAAAAATATTGAACTTAAATACACTAAGTTGGCATAACTGAGGATGTTTTAAAAATTTTAGGGTATGTAAGTGCAAGTTTTAAAAATGTTAGGGTATATAAGTGCTGCCAAAACAAGTGAGGGTATATAAATACAAGATTTATAAACTTTGGGGTATATAAGTGCTACCAAAAATAAGTTAGGATATATAAGTGCAATATGGGAGATTATAGGGTATTTAAGTGCAAAGCCTTTGGGAAAAGTTATTAAAGAATTGAGTTAACAAAGATAGTTTACGATTTACATAGTAAAGCTTAAACTTTGATATAAACTTTTTTCACATACAATTTGCAAAATAGAAATCTAGTAGATATAGACCTTAACTAAAAACTAGCTCTGAATAACATCCTTGTCTAATCTTGGATGGCTTTTGTAATTATTTTCCTTATGTTGGGACTTCTAGGATTTGGTGTGAATAACTTTATGATGAAAAACACAGGATCTAAATAAACACACAAAGAGCATCACCACAAACACGAAATTTTACGTGGTTCAGCAATGTGCCTACGTCCACAGGAGATGAGCGGAAGTATTCTCTAGTTCATTGAGAAGAAGACACAAAACCTCTCTCTTGCAAATCCTCACAATAATATTAATCTATTTTCTTCTCTCTCGCTTTTTTCTCCTTTCTTTTGATGGCTACTATTTTGCCTTGCCTCAAGCATAAAAACCCTAACCAGAGGGGAAAGCCCGATTTATAAATTTCTGACCATATACGAAAAAACCCCGCCAATGAGCCCATTCGGAATCAATCTGTAGATCTGGAACTCTACGACACTGCGCGGCCACACACTGTCCCTTTCTTTACGCTGAAGCAGCGAGCAGTATAAGCCCTTGCTTCTTCTCTGTTCTGTGACAGTGTGTGGTGACTGCACTGTCCTCAGCCTGAATTTAAACTCAGGCCAGATTTCAACACCTTAAAGAGACCAACTCTAGAGCAAGTGCTTCTTATTGGCCATACATCTAATGCTCAAGAGTATGTCCAGAAGGAATTATTTGAATGGCTATGGAGGAGATAGGGCAAAGATCCCTAATCGTCCACGGGACGATTCAGTTTCATTCATAGGAGGATTATGAGAAATTTGAAAATATTTAACTCCAAAAGGTGTGTCAAGAGCCATATTTACTTACAGGAACAGGGACCATATGATTTAATCTTTTGCCTACTTCACCATCTAATGAGGAAAATTCATCTGTGAGCTCTAACGGAAGGACTTCCCCATCAGATAACTTTTCTCCAGGACTGGGACACGAACTGGAAGGCTCCATATCATTACCAACCTGAGCACCACCCTCATTGCCTGCAAAAATAGACACCCATGACCCATACACAGAGAGGACAGATAAGCTATCTTTATTAGAAAATAAGACAAGTTTCTGCTCCTCTTCCCACCAGTATAAAGATTTCTCATAGGGGGACCAAACCAGTCTTGCGCAAGGACAGATGCTTGCAAATGTTCCTCATCTCCATGAGGATGTCCAGATGATTCTGCAACAGCAACCTGTGAAAATTCTTCTTGCAGAGCATGTGCGATGACTTCATCATTCTCTACTGCAGCATGATCAGTGCCACAATTAACTTCTCTTACATACACTTCACCATGAATATTGCCATCATTTTGTGTAGTAGTTCCACAATAACCAGGCACTGAGGCATCACCAAGAAGTTGATGGAGGCCCCATCTAAAAATATCAGAATCTTGCTCGCACATGATCATCAGCTCTACATACACCCTTCACTTAGAGTCAGACCAATGGAAAACCTGACATGAGAGGTACCGAAATTCCAATGTTATTATGACACTCTAAAAAGTTCCATTGAAGAATCTAAATTTTAAGTTTTAGGGATAAGCATGAAGATGTGAATGCCAGATAAATTCTTGTGGTAAAGAATAACTTGCACCAAAAACATGGGAAAATGCATGGAGCTCTCAACAGTTCTTTTGTAAAAATAGATACAACTAAAAACACTTGAACTATGTAGAAATGATCAAAGGACCAGTAGAAGAAAAAAAATCTTCAGCATGTATCTTAAAAATACAAATTTTCATCTTATTTATCCTTTTAAAAGTCCAGTCACAGGCAGTAATTTGATTTAAGGATAGTCAACCACCACAAGAGGCCAGTACAATTGTCATGATGGAGTGTAAATTAATGATTTGAACAAAACATAAATTTACTAATATAAAACAAAACATAAATTTACTAATATAAATTAATAAAAATCTGTTAAGTAACACAACAACTGAGCAGAAAATTATTTTTCTTTAGATATACCTCCAAAAATCTTGCATATTTAACCATTTTTACTTCCATACATTTCCTTAAAATGTTCAAGCTGTACTAATCCCTCATATCCTCCCTTAATGCTAGTACATATCCATAGACAATTCAACCTTCCAAGTTTAGGTTTGACACAAATGTTAGTTCTCCCCTTCTTACCATATCCACAACACAAACCCCCCCCACCCCCACCCCCCCACCCCAAAAAAAAAAGCACCCCAAAACATAACCCACCAAAAGCACACCTCCTCTCTTCTCCCTCCAGTCCTCTTCATTACAGAAGTTAACCAACTCCATTCGTCCTTCAATTGGGACATACCCCCAACCCCAAGGACTGTATCCTGTAACTACTATAGTCTCTTAACCTATCTCCATACCTCTTTTTCTTATACGGAACTTCCTCTTTGAATCCTGTCTCAAAAATCTCAACCTAGTTCAAGCTAAACAAATTCAGATGAGGAAAGTAGAAAGGGAGAGTGTTATTAAGAGAAGCCCATTTCAAGTCAAATAAATCAGATTAAAAAGTAGAAGAGAGAATATTACCAAGAAAAATACGACAATAGGACTCAGAATGATGGGCGCTGAATCTTGAATTTGCAATTTTGGCATTGAAGAAAAGAAATTTTAATTAGAGAATCTTCTCTTTTGATTGCACATTCAAAACATAGTGAAGACAGAGAGAAAGGAGGTGCAGATGGGTATCCAGATATCTTCAAACCATCTGGGAGGACACATATATTATAGAAAGTAACATCCAGGAGGGAGGAGGGAGGAATGAGGATGAGGAGGAGGAGGTGATCTTAAAAATTGTGACAAATAAACTTAAAAAGATGATTGATAGCAAAAAACATGATTCACTACAAAATTCCCAGGCAACAGATTCTAGATTGATGATGTTTTCAGCATTAACATCTGACAAACACGGATATGTGCAAAAGTTGAGGCCCCCAGATGTGAACATGTACTACAGGAATCACCATATAAGCTATACAGTTGGATGTTGCAGTTACGAATCTTAGATCAAATAGAGGGATTATGAGACCAATGATAACAGAGGTAGTAAGCTTACAAACCTAAGTTCCTGCCCAAGACATAGATTATGAAACACATGACCTGAAAAAAATTCCATAAACTTGCCATCTCATTTTGTTAATCTTCTCATTCTTGAAAGAGAATATTCGAAGAAACAGAAAAAGAAACCTAGACATACCATAATTCTAGCATTTCCTCAAACAATCACAAGACAACACTTAATGAAAAGCCAAAGCAGCCAACAAGACCCAGGACCATAATCAACTAAGAGGCATTCAATTGCGCAAGGCTCCTTCACGTTATGGTTGATTAATGTAAGAACCTAGACGCAGAAAAGCAGGCGACCTAAAGAAACTATAAATTTTCACTTACCGTCATATTGTAATATATAAGAATCGAGATATATTGTTTCTTTTGATTAATATTAGAAGATGAAATGTCAAATTTGAAACAGCTCTTTCTAAGTCCGACCCACTTCTAAAGCATCTTCAGTTTCCTTACTAGGCAAATCTTGTTGCAAAGGCCAGTCAGTGCTCCTTGGAACATATAGGGTTTATAAACCTCAATGTTGCCGGATCCTATGGTTCAATAGCACAGGTAAGAGAGTATGATTTGAGGAATAACTATAACAGTATTCTAATCCCTAAAAACGCACAACCCGCAACCCTGGCTACCAATCTCAGTAACTTAATTTCATTGAGTTGGAAAAAAATACATCTAATGGAAATGGCAACACAATTATTAGATAAATTTCTTGTCATGTGCAGGTCGTAATTGACGAGAGAAATCTATTATCAATCTTATCTCTCATACTCAAAATGTTATGGTACTCTATCATTAATCTTTTACAGGAAAGCCTATCTACCTAAACATTATGTAAATCTCACCCGTATAACTAAATAAGCTTCCAATTCATGATATTGGAAGTTCAAAATGTAATGATATTCTTTAGATGGATAGTGAAATAAAACTGAGCCTGCTCATCTCGAAGCATGTTAATATGTCATGCAACAATAAGAAAGAACTTTTTCCTTGCAAGCAGAGTCACAGTTATCATTTCCCCTTCACTTCCTCAAATAAATTCGTTTTCCTCGAGAAATATCAATTACTGATTCAAATTGAATGCACCAAATGACGACAATCATCATCCTGAATGTAATGTACTTTTAACCTCTTTGTGCATATAACAGAACTACTACTCCTGTTTTCTTTAAGAGACATAAGCAACCAGGAAAAAAATCCAGGTCGTGCCACTGTGAACAGACTCAAACTCACCTAAGTTCTCATCTACTCTTGTTGTTCGGGAAGTCGGACTTCAGCATACGTGTGGTGCCATTTCTCATGTTTTCTTTCCCACAATCCTTTTTCTACCATTTCCATAACCTAATAGTGTAATGAGGAATAGAAATACTATCATTCTCTTTCTTTCTTTTACCAGTCTAACACTATAAATACCTCGCCCAAATTCTTGTATTCTAGATTTTAAACTAATCTCCGTCTTCTAGACCATAACATGCGTGAATCATATCGACAAATGTCGTTTTCAGGTCAAACATTTGTTTCCCTGCAATTTTTTTGTACAAGTGCTCGTAGTTTTGATGTCATAATTTTCAAAGTTTTTTTTAAGGCTAATAGTGTACGTCTGTATTTCTTTAAAGATTCCTACATTTTCTATGTTTTATATAGCCTTTCACAACAACAATAACCTTGTATGGGGTCACACCTTTTTGTTCGAAGGGCATCCTTCACTTAAGGGCCAAGTCATGCAGAACATGCCATCACGTTTAATATATTAACTTGAAACACATTAGAGATGTTAGGTGTGCATTGTTTTCTTTCTTAAAATATGGGGGTAAACAAGCAAGATAAACAAAACTTTGGCAATCGTCGCTAAATAATCGCGTGATGCTCTAAGGAGCAGGTACAACTGAATCTACACATCCAATCCGTTAAATATATATATAAAAAACCCTCATTCTCGCTATTATAGTTTTTAAATAAGTAAATAAATAACAGAAAATACACGAACGAAATCTACTTACTTGAAAATAGTAACCAATTTCTGCACGATAAAACTTAACCATGAAACAATTTCTAAAACCAATCGAATCGATCGAATAAACTGCTAAAACGAAAGGGAAAAATCAAGCAATCCAATTCCTCCCAGTTCACGACCATCTAACCCAACAAAACGTAAAAGGAACAACCAAATCGACCTCCGCAACAGAATAATCAAACATAAATCCTAATCAAAACTCGTAAAAAGCTCAGGATCGAGATATGAACTTACTTGAAATCGAAGCAATCGAGAGAGAGAAGCAAACGCACACGGCTCCGAGACTCTGCGGGTTTATTTATATATATATGTGGAGATTTTAAGAGAGAGCCGCGTTCTATTTTTGAATCCTTCGCTTCGTTTTTTATTGGAGCTCTCTCTCTCTCTCTCTCTCTCTCTCTCTTCACGCCTTTCGACTGCCGTCTCTGGCCTTTCTTCGCGATGATCGCCGTTCGTTAGGTCCCGATGTTTGATCTCAGCCGACCGCTTCGTCACGTGGACGGTTATGGAGATCTCTGAAGAATACGGGACGGTGGGTCACGTGTTTGGTTTCTGTTTCCATGCCTCGTCTGCTATGGTGACGTGTTGTGAGTTCAAAGCTCATAAATTTCATGTGGGGCCGAATAAATATTACTTGTACTATTATTCTCGTACTATCAAAATTTTATGGGAAAATTTTATTATTCTTGCCTGCAATTTTATGAGAAAGTGTTTCATTTTTTTTAACAGACTTCAGGTGGCCTCCACAACCGTTTGTGTTATGATATCTTGATTTCTAAGGCCTAGTAGAATCCACTGTGGGTAGAGGTATAAAAAAATGGGACAAATATATCTTTTAGGAAAAAATATAACAAGGATATCCTAAAGATTTAAGTGATAAGATCTCCCTACGTATAAAATTGACAACTTCACCCAACATTTAGAATTTCTTTTTAAACAAGGTCAAATGAAGAGGATATCATAAGAAGAAAGTATTCTAATGGAAACTTCCCATATATAGGAATAAATAACCACTCAAGTGTTATCAACCTTTCGATCATTGAGCTTTGTGATTCATGTATAAAATCAATGGTTGATGTCTATTGGATGCATGTTCTTTGGATAGCAAACTTAATCGGAGTTTTCTTGCTAAAAAAAGGGGAAAGAAAGAATATTTGTTTGTTTGGCTTAATTGACTGATCCGTCCTGTGAAGTATTAGAGATAAGCTAATGATATTAACTCAAAATTTTAATTTCCTATGATCAAGCGTTGCTATTCTGTCCGAGGATCGACCTCACCCAAAATTTTGAGCGAGTCAAATTTTAATTGTTTATGACGGCTGGCCCTACTTTTGTTTTTCCTAGCAACGATTTGGAAGCACATATTGCCGAAGTTCAGCGATCAACCAGGTTTGACAGACTCGTGGTTTATAATAGGAACTTAGGAGGACTTGAACTGCAACTCAACCAAAAGCAGTTACACCTACTTTTTGTTGCACTCTACGTCCTTGATCACGCATATGCAGGTGTCATACTCTAACCAGAGCAAGGTGCAAAAAAAAAAAAAAAAAAAAACATGAGTGTATTGTTAAGCACTAACAGCCATGTATTATGAAATCTTCCATATTATTACTACATCTTGTACAAATTATCGCACATGCTTTATATACTAACAATGCCACGTTTAAAGTGGGCAGGTTAATTAAGCAACATATATATTATATGAGTTATAGATATATAATATATAGTAATATATATATATATTGGTATATACGATTATATATATACTGATAGTGTAGGTTATATGTATATTTATTTTTATTTATATATATATGTATATACGTGTATAGTATATATATAATATATATATATCATTATATATATAATATATATATAGTATAATATATATAAGTATATTATATATATATATATATATATATATATATATATAGATTATTTAGCTATGCGCTGCAACAACAATAATATAGGTAATCAACTAGTTATTACCCGTCCGATGCAATGGATTAAATTAATTTTCTGTACGTATATGAGACGTTTAGGTAAAGAGGAAGGTGAAAAATAAGATTTTTCGGAAAGAGAGAACAAAATGAATGATTTATAAGAAATTGAAAGGTCAAACAATAGGGATTCTGAAGATGTGGAGAGTAGTGAACTAAGATGAGACAGTGAAAAAAGGATTATTAGTTATTAATTGTTAGAGCATTTAGAATTTGCCAAGTGGAAAAAATATGCAACCAGGTTTTTACTTTATTACTATCTCAGTGAAGATAGTATTGATGGTGTTGACTGATTGGTAATATACTGAGACCAATAAAAAGTGCTGATGCGGTCTTCTTTTTTTTAATCGATGCAATCTAGTAATTAAGTACTAGGAAAACTCTTAAAAGTTATTTAAGCCTGTGCCTTATTAATCACACAAAAATCACCATGTTTTAGTTATTAAGGACTACCCTCTCTGACTAGTAGTTGTGTACTAATTAAATACTCTAATAGAATATTACTCGAGTTCTCCATGTGTGTGCAACAAATCAACTAGAATATTAATTTGCTAACTTATTTAGCAACACTAAGCCATACGCTCCAACCTTGTCAAACTATTTCTAATTGAGCCAGTTATATTTTGAGCTTGCAGGTGAAAAGGGTACTCTTAGATCATTTGGCCTCATTCAGGAGATCCTAACATTTTGATTTCTTTACTTCTGCAAATTATCGTATAAACATTGCAGGAGTGATATACTTCTGCCAATTATACTTGTGGAAGCCCTTTCTTCCATCTTAAACCATCAATGACCATAAAAGGGATCGAGAACACAGTGATCTTCCTGTATAATCCATATTTTACGTTCCTTGCTTGCCTCGCAGTCAAAAAAATGGAGAAAATTTAACCATCATTATCCTGACTATGAGTAGCATTATGAGTAGCACATAGGTGTACAGTAGGATACGTGAAGAGCACAATAGGATGTTTTGCGAGGTAATCTACTTGAGTTGCATCGAGCTGCCCTCTTTGAATTGTTGGGTACCGATTCAAACTCCAAGTCGGATGCAGGTTTGTAGGTTAGGCCTATTCCTAGTAGTTTTCTTAGAGGCTACGTTAACTTCGTGGACAAGTTAGAGTGTCTTTAAATAAGACCTCCGATTCTAGTGTTTTGAGGTAGAGAGAAGGAGAGAGACAATATTCTTGTAAGCAGGGTTTAATAGAGGGTGTAACTGGGTTCAAGAGTATAGTGTGAGAGAGGGTTTGACAGTCTTTGTCCGTATAAAATATTATAATTTGGAGGTGATAATGGATTGTTTTTGATCCCGTGGTTTTTTCCTGTTAGCTTGACCTGGTCTAAGATGACCAAAAATCTGTTCTTTCTTGTTCCTTGAGTTCGATCACTGGTATCAGAGCACGTCGATCTCAACGCCGCCCTATAGAGCTCTGCGTCAATCAGCCACCTCGACCATTCTGCCGCGACGACGATCGATCGACGACGATTGCTACGATCGCTCGACCAACAACGACTCTGTTATCTATGACTTCGGCGGCTACTGAAGGAGATCGCGTCGTTGATCAACACAGGAGATTACGTGAAGGAGGTTCGGTGAATCGTCCGCGCCGTTCGTCGTTTGTTTCGTTGGTGGTTTTGTCGCTCATTTCTCTTTCCCCCTTTTCTGAAGAATTTTTTTTTGTCGCTGCTCTGTAAAACCACCCGAGTGCCCTTCCTCTTCAAATAGAGAGTAACTCAGCCTTCATTCAGCCCACAACCAACTTGAAATTATAAAGGCCCGGTTACAAAGCTCATTCACTTATTTGTTGAATCAAAGCCAAACACTTCTGTTTTTTTTTAATCAAAACCAAGCACACTCTCAAGGACCACGTTCACTCATCAAACAACCAGAGAGTTACTTGTTCTATATACTGGATTTTTTCCATAAAAAGGCTGCACCAACTCAGATCAGAGAGTTACTTGTTCAATCAGCACCGCTAAGTGACAATCTCGCTCAAATTGGAGCCTCTTTCATCAACTCGGAACAGTCAGGTTCATTTTAATTTTAGTTTATTTTTATCTAACATTATTTTATTTTAGTATATTTGTCAATATATCAACCTTATATATATTTTAAAATTGAATTTAGTTTTAGTTCTTTACCGAATAGCTAGTAAACTCGTTCTATCAGAACTAGGTAAAATTAATAAATTTAATGGCAGTAATTATGATATGTGACATAGAAAAATAGGATATGCTCTTATTCATGACAACATTGATGATATAATCAAAACCACTGCTCCAACCCTTACTGATAAATCTACACCTGAAGAAAAGAAAGGGTTTGAACAGTGGAAGTCGAAAGATAAAAAGGCGAAAAGTCTTATGCTCATGTTCATGGAAGATAACTTAATCAAAGTTTTTGAAACTTATAAGACTTCCATGGACATGTGGAATGCAATAAAAGAAAAATACGACACTGCTTCTGAAGTTAACATCCAACTACTCTTGCATAAGTATAATTCTTGTCGTATGCAAGAGGGAGACAATGTCGTAGAGCATATAAATAAAATAACTGTCATGGCTAAGGACTTATCCACTGCTGGGACCGAAATCCCGGAAAGAATGCAAGTGGCAACCATTCTAAATAGTCTTCCCCCTTCACTTGCTGTGGCTGCCACCATATTAAGAATGAATCCTGCCATTAAGTCTGTCACTGATCTTCCTATGCACCTAGCGATAGAACAGGACTTAATAGCCAGTAGAAAGGAGCCAGAACTGAATATGGTGCAGCAAGAGCTGAATTAGGTCCGCCAGAGGCATAATGCTGGAAGCTATAAAAACCCTGGTCCTAGTAAACCACAACCACGAGAACCAAAATCACAGCAGTTCAAGAAAAAGAAAGTACCCCGCGGAGCCTGCTACAATTGTGGAAAGTTCGGGCATTTCAAACCCAATTGCCCACAAGGTGAAAAACAGGAGAATAAGGGAGGCTATAAGCATCCAGAACAAGGAGGTACTAGCAAAAGAGAATTCGTCGGTGTGACGGAATGTAATGCTGTGATGACGGACATCAGTAGTTGGTGGATCGACTCCGGAGCGACTAGGCATATTGCAAAGGACAATAATGGAGTCGTAGAATTCACCGAGCTTAAGAAAGGAGAACAGAGGATCTATATGGGAAATAATACCTATCTTGATGTAGAAGGGATTGGTTCATATAGATTGGATCTTGGTGTTGAATATCATTTCTCCATGATAATGTTTTGATGATAACAATTTATATTGTGTGTATACTAACTTTCATATGCAGATTTTAATATCAGAATATGAACAAGTGCAAGTGGATATCAAGGCATTTTGAAGTAAAGAAAATGAAGAACAAAAGATAATGTATTTGTATTTTTCTTTACTTAGAATATTTGTACAAGCCTTGATCACACACACGCACACACACACAATTTTAGAACACACTAACACAGGCTTAGTGTGTTGGTTAACTATAGAAATCCCCTATGTTAACCATTAGAATAATAGTTAAAACTTAATTATAAAAACTCATTATTTCTGAATTTTTGATCTTAATAGTCGACTAATTAGGATAATAGTCGACTACTCATGTATATAACTCAAATACAAGTTTCTGTCTTTTTACAGTATAGTCGACTAATAG